TAAGCAAGGTTAGAATGACCAAATTTAACTTTTTTTATGTTTCTTGAATTCCTAAAAACATTATTTGAGCATCTATGGTGAAAAAGATAACTTGCCCTTAAATGTAATAATCTTCCAACCAAATTAGTAACTAGATAGAGTTTAACTTAAGAATTTTCCTTCAAGATGGAGAAAATTATCCCCAAATTCATTTTAAAAATGATAAATAACAATTTATGAATATCGAAATTTCTATTATTAGTTGCCTTTATAAAAATATCTTTCTATAAAATTGATGATGATTCTAGAAAAAATTTCAGGGAATTCCATCCCTAATGATTAGCCCTTTAATACTCGAGCTTAACCTCATGTTGATGCTGCAGCACAGATCTCTTATAGCTTCTTGGATGAAATAAAACAAATTTTGCTTTAGAACAAAGTTTAATTCATCTCCTATTGTACCATTATTTCTTGATGCTATTAGAGTAAAGAAATAATCTAGATACTAATGTATATCAATAATTTTATATACTTCATCATATAATTTATCTTTAAGTTTGAGAGTACTTTATCTTTTATGGCTTGCAGTGGATTTATCCTATCACAAAGAGATACTAGTTCTAAGCTGGGTAGCTCCTCATAAATAGAAATTCAATATTTATTTTCTAACCTATTAAAGAAGGATTGTATAGGTAATAATATTGAAATTAAAAGACAAATATTTTTTTTTTATTAAATTTAGACTAGTTATTTCGAGGTGATCCCTTGATTAATGTCTTTCTTTTTAAAGAATAGAACACCTTTACCTGATGATATATTTTATAAGCAGAGTATGGATAATGATTAGCTTGTTAGAATCAGATTAGAAGGAAATTAAAGTTAGTATTAGATCATAAGAAACTCTTATAAGTTCAATCGATCAAGCAGTATCAGATCCAAGAAGTATCAACTTCAATTGACGATGATATATGCATATCTGGAATATTTGATTTGCTATGAATGGTCTTTCTTTGGTCATCCTTGGTTGCTCTTCCAATTTTTGGTCTATTTGATCCGGTTGTTCAAATTATACTATCTTTACATCGATCCCTATAGATTTTTTTTGAGTTCTCTGTTTAATTCTTCTCTTATTAATCTTCATATTTTACTAAATTAGTGGAGTTTTCATACGATTGGACTTAGGATTAAAGTATTTGGTTTTTGATGATCTAATATAGCCCTAACTAGAGAGCAAATTTTGCCTTTAGATTCTTGCATCATCTCAATAAGACTTTGAAATATTGATTAAAAGCGGGTCTTCACAACAATTCCTCAATTCTTTAGGTTAATTGAACTATTATTCAAAAAAGTAAAGTCATCTAACATTATTAATTTATTTATCATAGAAAAATTTTAAACGAATAAATGATTATTAATTAATAAAATTTTTTAACATGTGTACTAGATATGATGCAGCAGAAAATCATTTTAATTTTGCCTCTCTTTCAAAATACACCTTCTAATAATAACTTACTTTATTATACCTTTACACTGATACTTAAGATCAGAAAGTAAGTAGATCTTGTTTTAAAAATTCGATTAAAGTATTTCTAAATTTATTCAATTGAATTAAATCAAGAATTAATTTTTTTGTCTGAAAATAAAATCGAAAGCACAATTGCAAATTTTACTTCATATAGTATCACAATCTTTAGATTATTTATACACTTGGTATTCATTATTATAAAACTGAAAGCGTGATTAAACAAATTTAGCATAGTTTCTAGAAAAACTCTAAACCCAAGATTATATATACTTTGAAATTTTTACTATGTTAGAAAAGGTAATTCATACTTTAAATGTTTTGGATTATCCGCACATGATACTACACTTTGATGTTTATTATCAGTCTTAAAGGAAATGAATGGTTAATTATAGACTGGTATTTATTAATTTATCTACTTTAAATATAATAAGTTTATTACTAAAGTAGATTCAATAACAATTAAATCTTAAGTAGAATTTTCTGCAAATTTGCTCATAAAAACTTATAGAATCAAAAAAGGAGATCAGTCTTGTAATTATGACTCTAATTTTACATTATTCTTCTTTTTGAACTTAAAATTTGCATATCTATTCTTCTTATTGAACTTAAAATTTGCATATATAAACAGTATAGAGATTCTGATCATTATTTTTAGAATAAGTGTGCTACTAAAAGGAAGATAGAAAGCAGTTTAAAGATATTGTGAAAAAATACTAGAAGAATCAAGCGGTATTTAAATGTTACACTGAATTATGTTTAACTTTATTGCTATTTGGTCATTAGGAAATTAGACCATTGTTACTCATTACATTCTGAGATAAATTGAAGCTATTTAAAAAGTTATTTCTATTTGTATGTATACTCTTTCTACGTGAGCTGAATATATATCTGCTCTAGTTTTATTGTAAGGAATTAATTCAAATATCATAAATTATTTGTACTAAAATACATGTACTCGTCCATAAATCCTTACCTCGATTAGTTGCTTATCACAACCAATATTATTTTAATTGATGTACCACAATCCAAAACCTGTTACATTTTGGTGATATTTAAAATATATTTCCTCTTTAATATAATTATCATCTTAGTCCTCTATGAATAATACAAATAAAATGGTTGTAGGTGTAACAATTACCTTGAATATCACAATAATGTTAAATTAAACTTGATCTCATATAAACATAATAAAACGCCCGCGTCAATAAAAAATGATTTTTCAAAAGATATTCGTATAATAAATGCCGAACTAAATGATCAATAACTGGGCTTCATTGAGTGAGGTAAGGAATATTATTTTATTAAAATTATTTTGTAATAACACAATTTGGTAGCGAATATATTTATTCAATATTTACTTAAAATTAAAGTTAAATAAGTTTAAAGGAATTATCCTGTCTTCATAAAGTGTCTTATACATTTAGTTCTAAAGCTACATTGAAAATGGAATTTAACAGTTCATGTGATATTTTTAATTTAAATTTCATTAAAATTAAAAAACTATTTACTATTAAAAATAATTATTTATCTTCTGATGTCTTCTGCATTTCATATTCATATAGGAGGGGCTGGAGTAAAGATTGGTGATATGTTATGGTAACTGTATGAAAAAGAATAATGAAACAACTGAAAAGAATTATATTTATGATGAAGTCAATGGGAATCATTATCCATTAGCACTTTTCGTAGATACAGATGACAGAATGATACATGAAGTCTAAAGGAATAAATCAGGCAAATTTAAGAAGCATTCATTTTTACATGGGAAAGAGGATGCATTAACTTATACTCGAGGTTTTTATACTGTTGGAAGAAGGATTGTCGATTAGGCATTAGAATATATTCGAAAACAAATAGAAACGATGGATCGATTAGATGAATTTGTGATCACAAGTTCAATCAGTGGAGGAACTGGGTCCGGATTTTGTTGTTGGTTAGTTGATGAGTTGGATTGGAATGGTGGTTACAGCAAAGTAAGAAAAAATGGATTTATAATTTTCCCATCTTCAAAGGTGGCGAATAATGTTCTTGGAATATATAATACTGTGCTCGCAATGCCAAATATGATTGGCTATTTTGACAGCATCACAATGTTTGATAATTAGTCAATGTATAATTTTATTGATCATCAATTGGATGTAGATTTTGTTGATTATTCATTTTTAAATAATTTGGTTGCTTAAATAATTAGTTCGTATACTGGAATTAGAAGATTTAACTAGGAAGATAACTCTGCATTTTTTTCAAATTTGTGTCCTTCTCCTAAGTTACATTTTTATATTCCATCTTATGGTAAGCTGACTTTGATAAATGATTACGTTAGAAAAGAATTAGAACAAAGAGAATTCATTCAATTTCTAAAAAAAATAGACCAAAAACTCTATCAATGTTCTAATAATCCTCATTATATTTGTAGTACCCTATTGTTAAGAAAAAGATAATTTAATCCTTTTTCTGGTAGATTAGATTAAACTATTAACAATTTAAATAATTAATTTGGCTAAACATCTTAAATTTATTAATGTAAATCATCTAATTACTAAGTATTACCTGAACTTGCAGAAATGAAACAAACAGGGACTTTGTTTTCTAATGATGCCTCAATTGCTAGTAGTTTAAAAGCATTAGAAAAGAGATTTTCCTATGCTTATGACTAACATGCATTTATTGGAGGGTTTGAAGGTTGGAAAAGCAGAGACATTTATATTGCAAGAGATGACTTAAAGTAGTTATAACATGAATACGAAGAATTCTTTACAGTGGATAACTAAGAAATATGATTCAAAGAATGATGGTATTATTATTGTTATAGTATCATGTATTAATTAATATAAACTAAAAAAATCAATTTTAATTAAATTATGTTTTATAATTCCATTAAGCTTGAACAACATATCATATAATTGTAAAATTCCAAACTGATTGATTATCAATCTCTTTTCAGTTTCTATTCACTAAACTATCTTACAACATAAGAAAGAGCTCAGGTGTTCTTTATTGCTTTTGCGGTACTTGATAGTTTAAAAATTAAATCCCTTAAAATTAGATGAATAATTGGATAAAATTTGATATAGAAAAATTTTAGGCCAAAAAATCAATAAGTCAATTTAGATCAGATATTTAATCTAAGTATATTTATTTTATTACAAAAAAATTTCTCTGATATTCAAATCGATGTGTTTATCTAAATAGATGTTATTTTTTGAAAAAATTAAAAAAACAGCAAAATAGATGTATTTTTGAAATCAATCTCCTTCTGTCTCTTGCTTTCAATTTTTTATATTTAAAAAGTATAATATTTATACTATTCCACAAGATTTTTACAGATGTTTTTTAAATTCCATATAAATAATCTTAAAAAACAAATGTAAATCCTATTAAGAATTGATAATTTACTGAATCTATAAATTCAATCCTTTCAAGTATTTTTATTGTGATAATATTTTTACTAATTAATATTCTAATTGAAAATTCATAGAATCGGATTAAAATAAAAATTTTAATCATGTTCACTAAAGAATTAATTAAAATAATTTTATGTTAAACATTTATTTTTTATTTTGGAGAGATGGTGTTATATTCCTTTATTATCTGAGGCTTCATTTGTCTTAAATAATAATATACTTAACCTCATATATTGTTTATAAAATACCATTATTTCAATTCTACTCGTCACTTTATATCTCTAAATTTAGTTTGATTTTTTTAAATTGATTTGCTTGTAAAATATGGATCCAAAAGGATAAATTTAAAAGTAGCAATAACTTATTCCAATCCATTCCTCCTTCGAAGATCATAAATTTATCTATTCATTGAAAGATTCGTACAGTAATTAAGACTCAGTCCTCTTTCAGCTTATCAGAACATGTTAAAAAATGTAAGAAAATGTTGAATCATTCATCAAATGATTAAGAAATNTTTGACAATTAGTCAATGTACAATGTTATTGATCATCAATTAGGTTTAGACTTTGTTGATTATTAACATTTAAATAACTTAGTTGCTCAAATAATTAGTTCTTACACAGGATTAAGAAGATTTAACTCAGAAGATAACTCCGAGTTTTTTTCAAATATGTGTCCTTATCCTAGATTACAATTTATTACTCCATCATATGGTAAACTGACTTTAATAAATGATTACACTAGAAAAGAATTAGAAAACAAATAATTTATTTAATATCTAACAACAAAAGGCTAAAAACTTTATCAATGTCCTAATAATCCTAATCATATTTTAACTACTTTATTATTGAGATAGCAATATTTGAACCCTTACTATGGTAAATTGGATATAACTCGTAAGAATTTAGATCATTTCTTTGGCTACAGATCAGATATTTTTTAATGTAAATCATCTAATTACTAAGTATTACCTGAACTTGCAGAGATGAAACAAACTGGAACCTTTTTTTCAAATGATACTTCAATTGTTAGTAGATTATAAGCATTATAAGACAATTTTAATAAATTTCTAATAAGAGGAGCCTATTAACATAGCTATTATGCTGGTGAATTCAGACACAGGGAGTTTTGTAGGGCAGAAAATAGATTGTCTAATTTAATAAATGATTATGACGAATTTGGAACTTTGAATAATTCACAAATTGAGACCTCAAGCAATGATGAGTAGTGAGATTCATTATTACTTCTATGGAAGTTTATATTATTTAATTAAAGATGAAAAAAATTAACTTCTTTTTCAATTCTTTTATTTTTCCTAATTTAAGATATCAAGCCTAAAAATACTTTATCCAACTAAAAATGATAAATTCGATATTTCAAAAGTAAATTAGTTAATGATATTTTTCTTCGAGAAATAATGTTGCTTTCTTAATTAAGCTTATTAAATTATTATCAATAATTGAATTCAAAAGCATAGCCATAATATCTATTTCTTTTTTTAATATTTTATCGACGTGAAATCCATAAAATAATATGATTACATAAAATGTCAAAGGGAATATTGTATGATAAATATTTGAGAGATAAGAAATTATGAAATTGGAGGTAAGAAAAGAACGAAATTCTTGATTATTCATTGGTGATCATATAGTTGATGCATAAATATTTATTGAACGTCTGAAATGGAACTTCAATTCAATTTATTAGAATACTCATTTATAGTAGATTTACATTGAAAAAATCTGTTGGTAATTTCTTTAGCATGCTAAAAACTGTATGTGAATACTTTTTATATGAAAATAAAAAATTATTAATAAAATGGGAACAGATNTATGATTATTTTAAAATTAGAATTGTTTTATATTTTAATATATATACGATAGCATAAAAAAATTAAGGAAGCTTGTGAAGATGGAAGAAAGATCATCTCGATAGAACTAATCTAAATAATATAGGATGTATGAAAATACACATTCATTAATATAACCTTTCACAGCTACTTATCTTAATTGCGTAATTTAACTATTTTAGTTATTTATTATAAATATAATTATTTTTCACATTATGGACTCTGAAACCATATTTCTCCTCAATTTGGTGAAACCTTTGAGGGACCCACTTTGCACAAACATAATAAGTGGTAACAGCAACATCGACTTTTCTCAAGCTCATCTATCAATTAGCCAATGAATGACAAACAAAAAAGGACCTAAAAGGCCACCTTAGTGGATTCCATCAATTACATTTCAATTTAAGATTATAAATGTAGAGTTAATAAAAATTAAAACAAAATTGCAATTTTCGCGAAAAAGATACTATTCTGAATCAAATAGAAGAAGCCCTCCATTCGGGTCACCATTAATCAATATCGTCCCAATAAGAATCTATGAGAATTTCTTGAGCGCAGAATACTTGATGAGGACATTTAATGAAAAGGGTAATATGGAGGACCTAAATTAAAAATATTATTAGAAGGTGGACCTAGACCAAAACAAGGGGAAACTGAGAGCAACTTATATTTAGGAGAGTGATGTAGATATCAATTGAAATGGGCCAAATTCTCAATGTTAGGTGCCCCACTCAAAAATTGTACGCTAATTTTGCTAAAAGTAATAAAATACTGGGCACAGTGTTCAATTATTTACCTTACACTACAAAATAAATTATAAATTACATTAGTAAATAAAATCCATTAATTGATTTAATTGAGAAACACCCTTCGATTTCAAAAGAGCAATCTTTGGATTGAAAAAGCAAAATTGTAATTCTAGTAATATTGTCCGATTAGTGATAAGGCTAGATTGCTTTATGAAAGTGCAAAATTAATAAATATATTCGATGATGGCAAGAATATGATATTATGGAATACAATTTAACAATATTTAAAAAGACATTTTACAAATACTATTTTCCCTTAGTAATCAATGTATGCAACAATTACAACTAAAAAATAAATTACTCCTACAACAATAATAGATAGAATATTAGCTCATCTTTATTGTACTAAATTGAATTTAATGAAGATTTTGATAACAATTCTAAACAAAAGTGGGTTCTAAAGGTGATCTCAAGAGGCAGGATAGAATGTTTACATTAAATTTCTTATTTCTGTTTGATGTATTCGTATACAATTATATAACCAAGTTCTAACTCAATCATATAAATAACATCAATACAACCAAAAAATAATTAGGAGATATAAACAAACAAAGATTAGTGACATAATAAAAATTAGGAAAAATCTATTCTTCTAAGAAAACAAATGAGTATTTTAAGAATAAAATAAATAATTACTCATTCTTTAAATTATAATAAGGGGAAATCATAAAATTTGAAATTCACATTAAAATAATCTGTTTTTGCTCAATCAAAATCCAAAATTTATTTTGTAAAAAATGATTATCCCTTTTANATATAAGATTGTCACTCTCTAGCCATGAAGTTAATACTTCAATTCTACTTAATAATAATTTTATTCACTCATTAATAAGTAGGAAATAATTTGAAAAACTTTACATTAATTTAATGGCTTTACACTTTTATATTATAAATTGAGAGAAGAAAGTAATTGATATCAATATACTAATACTATTATTATTTCTATACCAAAGTGGATTTAAAAAGGTATTCTCAATAAGCAAGATAGAATTGATACATTAAGTTTCTTATTTGTGTTTGATGCATTCTTAGACAATTATATAACCAAGGTCCACTAAATCATAAAAAATGACTTCCATACAATCATAAAATAATAAACAAATAAAGAATTAGAGATATAAAAATTAATTCATCTAAAAATGAGTATTTTAAGAATACAATAAATAATTACTCATTCTTTAAATTATAATAAGGAAATCATAAAATTTGAAATTCATATTAAAATAATCTGATTTTGCTAAATCAAAGTACAAAGTTTATTTTGCAATAAATAATTATTCCTATTTGCCTTCATTAGAAATGTAAGTAGAAATATTTACTAAAAAATAATATTAAAGCTAAATTAATAATAATCATGAAATTTAGATTTGTTCATCGAAAGTTCTTTGATTACTAGTTGATCTATCTTCATCGATCTTAGTCTCAACTATACTAGAAGAAGTATGCAACTTTCTAGATAAATCTTCTGATTAGAATCTATCATCCTATGCGTCAGATTCAGTAGAACTAATATAATAAGATCTTTAGTTACAGTTATTATTAAGACAGTGACTTATTGTCTATTGAGGTGTTATCTTTAATTGTATTAATTTTGTTTGAATAGTATGATGTTATCATTCTGAAATTTTAATGGTCAGTTTCTGTTTCATTAAGTTTTCTTAATTCATTGATGTATTCAAACTTCTAAGTAAGTTAACCGTGTAGAGTGACGGTTGCATTTTACAAAAATTCAGGTAGCCCACTCTCTTCTAAAGGTTTGGTGGGGTCTGAGTAGGCCAAGTGTGGAACAATATCCCTTAGAGCCTTTCCGAAATCCATACTGGCTTCATATGGCATTTAGGATGGCAAGAAATCAATTGACATATACATGATGTCATTTTGAGATTTGAAATCGAATTCATCATGAACTTATTGAGATATTGGATTATAATAGTAACAGGATGATCAGGATTAGTGAACTTCTTTAAGTATTAGATAGAACCCTCTAGATCACATGTAACATCACATACAGCTTGCAATCTACTATTTCCAGATTCAGATAATTCCTAAAATATATAATATATTTTTTACTTTAATTTAGGAATCAGTAATATATCGAGGAAACTTGGATTTCCAATAAATGTCGTTAATGAGAATCGTTAGATAGAGTAGGTATTTCTGATGGAATATAGGTTCATAATCTAATGGATTTTCATAATAATCTTGAGATGTGAATTCTTTGTGAACATCATGTTTATGCCTGACCAAATCAGTAGTTTTGAAAGGACAAACATAAACTGTATTCCTATGTTTTTTATCATTTGAGTTCCTAACTAGTTCTTTCAAATCTTCTGGATTTATCAGTGTAATTAATCTGAAGTTGAGAAAAGGCCTCCAAAGAGCCTTTACCATGTCAATGAATATTCTCTTCGTTGAAGGCTGCACAACGATTTAAATTTGATTATTCTACAAATATTTTGAATTATATTACTTTTCCATCATATACTTGCCATCATGAGGGGGGATTGGTATTCTTCTCTCCGTATACGATTTGTCTTCAGCTCGTATACCAATATACAATTCGTCAATTGTTGTTTAAAAGCAGATAATATATTACTTAATACTTAATTTTATAATAATCATAAATAATTCCAATAATAAATCTTCATTTTCTCTTATAACAATCAAATTTGAATATATTTAAAAAAATTTTATATAACCAAACATTAATTACTAAACCTTCATAACCAAAATTGAGTATAAAATCCAATATCTAACTTAACGCCATATAAAATGATAATTCTAAATGAAAAGAAAGACCATTTTGATGAGATGTTGTTCCAAATAATTAAAATAATATAATCGCTTATCATATCCACATAATTTATAGTATTGACGTTAATCAAAACATAATTAATTAGAATCAAAAAGAATAATAAATAATTATATCCAAATTAATTTAACATTATTAGAAAATTACTTATTTACTGCATCAAAATTCTGACTATGTGTACGATAACCCTGAATTCATCATATCGATAAAAATCAAAACAATTATTATTTAGTTGCAATGAATTACTTTTGGAGCACAAAAAACAGTTAATTGATTTAAAGCTTTCATTATAATTCAATTAAACTTTAATATTTTAGAAAGGCTTACAGATATATGTTTATATAAATATAAGGTGTTCATTTCATAAATGTAATTATCCTTTATTGGATTCCACCCTATCGGTTAAGATAAGATGGATTCCAATCATCGTATTGATTTCAGCATTACATTTTTATCGCTATAATGTAGAAGAGTTTTTAATTCTTTTAAACATTCTATTCAAATTCTATCTAATTTTTATTCCATATTAACTTTATCCCATTTCTTCTTCCAATTAATTCTCAAAATTTATTGAATTTCTTTTTCTATTGGATTAAGCTATTTTTTGCAATTCAATAATTAATCTCAATGTTTAGGTCATTAGGTTGTCCTCATAAATGATAGGGGCGACATCGAAAAAATTATGATTTACCGACTGATTCCAGATTCCTTATGTTGGGAGCTAATAAATGAAATGTCTGCAATTTAATTAAAGGTTTAAGTATCAATTGGTCTTGATGGAAACAGGTTTTAAGGACAGATCGGTATTGGTGGAATCAGGCTCTAAGCCTATTCCGAATTTAATATTATAGTCAGATAAAATTATGTTGAAAATTAATAAAAAAACACCAATTTTTAATTTCTTATTCTATTAACAATAATGCGCACTAGTATTATCATTTACAAGCTCAAACAGAAAAAGTTTAATTAATATAAAAGTCTGGTTATAGAATTATATTTTTCCATTTTGGAATACACAACTTGATGATTTTGTAAAATTATTTTAGAATGGATAAATAATATAAAGTTTCAATTAATGCAACACAAAATTTCTTGGTTTTGAGAAAGAGAATTAATGATCAATTTCTAAAACTTTAAAAGAATGTTTGAATTTAAAAATAGAAATTAATTATCAAAAAATGTGAATTTATTGATACGGTCATACTGATAGATTCAAATTCATTCAATTTTTTCAATTTGATTTTATCTTCTTATAGTGAAAAATTTAAGATTATAGATTCGTTTAAGTTCTCTGAAAAAATCTATATTTCATCTTTTCTTTTA